AGATTCGACACTTTGAGCTGAAGCAACCGCCTCCCGAAGTAATTCAAGGCGTGGATCTCTACAGAGTGCATATTGCTAGAAAGACGATGCAAATTGGAGCGCTTGTTCTGCTCTCTAGGTGAACAAAACTTGTTGTTTAGAATGGGGTTGTCCTTTCTGGCAGATTTATAGGGCAATTTCTATGTAACCAAATCGTTCTAGTTTGTAATCCATGAGTACATTAAAGTACTCCATTTCAGGTACATTTGTTTGTCCTTCCGCGCAATCAACGATGGAAATCCTGCGGAATGAGATCCTGAGTGAAATACAAACGCTTGTGCATGTCTTTCGCCAAGACTACGTCAAGGTAGACCCTTCCAAATGATCTAGATCGCTAAATGTTGTATAGATCAAGTCGACGCAGCTCCAGGGGCTTGCATCTCTTCGAGTTCAAGTATACCAATGGGCCGAACCGGCTGATTTTGAATCCCAGACCGTTCTTCGACCATTTCTTGACATCGTGCGCAACGAGAATACTACAGGGCCATTGACGCGAACGGCAATGGAGTCTGTGTGCAATATTCTACGTGCGTATGAACACCAGACATCGATTTTTGCTCCTGTCGTTGAGATGCATCATGCGTTCGTCGAAGTAATTGATGCGGTGACGCAGTGCCGCTTCCAGGAAACAGATCCCGAGAGCGATCAGTATGTGCTTCTTATGGTTGTCCGCGTGCTCGATGTCGTGATTCAATGTCGTGCAGTGGATGGATTGCCCGTCGATTCAAAGTGGCGCATCTTTGAATCTCTGTTTGGAATTAGCCGTTCGTACGAAGTCAGTACTTCCACCGCTTTGCTCCTAAGCTGTGATTTACCTCTAGGTTCGGCTCTCGAGCGTATTGCGGTCACTAGCGACTGAGACGCTACATCATCTAGTGCGGGTCCTGTTCGTCCCACAAACAATCGGCGCTGATGTCCAACTCGCCACAAAGATCCTAGGTTTTCTCTGCCAAAAGGTCGACATCTCTCTCGATATCTTGCATCATCCTTCGATATCTTTTAGGTCCAAGCAAAATCTCAAGCCACAGAACGTGAAACGATAGTCGCCCTCAATCTTATTCATTCAATTCTCCACACGAGTGGTGCCGCTCTCGCTCAAGAGCCGTCTCTTCTCGCTCACATCCATGATGATCTTTGCGGTGCTCTACTAATCCTCTGTCGATTGAGGTATTGCGTTATTTTCTTGAAGGCACCATCACCTTCTAAAAGCGATATTTCCATACCGATTCTAATGGCGAGTCTGCCGCTCTGGCGTCTTCTTTGGGTGCATTTGCGCATGCATTTGAAGCTTCAATGGGAAGAACTCGTCCTCGGCCTTATAGGCGCTTTGCAAGATCCAAATTTGACTTGGGAATGGAAGCTTGAGCTAGCTCAACTCGTGGTGGATTTACTCAGCGATGCCGCCTTTGCACTGGACATGTATGTCAACTACGACTGCGATCCTGACCGCTCCAACGTCTTGGAGTGCATCCTGGACGTCTTGCTGTCGACTGAAACAATGCTCTCAGCATCGACTGACAAAGTTTCGACGGAGGAAATGATCGAGCTTTCTTGCTTAGGTCTCGTCAACGCGCTTCAGATGCTCTATCGGCGAACACAGCAAACGGAATGGCCAGAGAATGCTTCCATTGGTGCCACACAGCTTCTGGAGCGCCGCCAGCGCAAGCAAGTATTCCAAGTATGTCGTTTTTGTCCAAGACGCCTCTAGATTGAACGTTTTCGTAGGAAGCGATCAATTTATTCAACAAGAAACCATTGCAAGGCTTGGCCATGTTAGAATCCCGTGGTTTCATTGAATCTCCGATGACTCCAGTCGTTGTGGCCCAATTTCTGCGTTCGCTTCCTCGTGGAATGGACAAAGTACAAGCTCAATGATCCCTTGCAGTTCATTTTCCTGTAGAACACTGTTGGCCAAATGCTGGGTGGCTTGGGCAAAGCGTCTGGTGGGAATGCCAATGAGTCCGTCGAGTTTCAAAGTGAATTACGCCGCGCGTACGTTGAAACCTTTGACTTGGACCAACTTGCCCTCGTTGATGCATTGAGACTATTCCTCTCAGCATTTCGACTCCCTGGTGAAGCGCAACAGATTGATCGTATCCTGGAAGCCTTTGCCGAGAGGGTTCTTCAAGTTTGCGAGCATTTTATGATTAACTTTTCCACGTAGGTTTACGCACAATGCCGCGAACGAGAGCTCTTTGGCTGCGTGGACGTGGCATACTTGTTGAGTTTCTCCATCATCATGCTCAACACCGACTTACACAATCCCAACATTCGACCTGAAAAGAAGATGTCCTTGCCCGATTTCCTCAAGAATAACACGCATTATGGCCTAAACAATCAACTGGCGCCTCTCCCGGAGGACTACCTGATGACAATTTATCATGCGATTGCCACCGATCAGTTCCGAACATTTGAAGAGCATCAAGAGATGACTTTTGCAAGGTCTGTCAATGCTCCAAACCTAATCTGTTCACACTTTCAACTAGATGGAATGAATTACAACGTCAATTCCGCACAGCAACAGACCCGACGATCCACAGCATCGCCCATGTGCATGATTATGACGGTCAAGTGCTTGATTGTCTAGCAGAACGCTTACTTGACGCCGCCCCTCGACTTGTTAGTACTGGTATGCTGATCCCGCTTCTAAAGTCGAATAGTTTGAGTCGCCAAATCGAAACTTGCGGGATTTGGCCATGCAACTCGTGGTTCTCACTGGTCTTGTCGCGTCGGCTCTGCAGTGTGAGCAAGTTCTACAGAACGTCGTCAAGCTGCTGGCTGAAACTTCAACTCTCGTGGATGCTATCGACGCCGACGAAACGATAGATGGCGCAGAGTACGTCAGCTCAAGTCGATTTCATTGACGATCTTTTCTAGATATGCATTTACAAACGACGCATTGGCATGCGCTGCTGCCCAAGGTCTGCTCGAAGTCTGGACGCAATGCGCCAATATGTTTCGATCCCAAGCGTGGCTTTATCTCAACGCTGTGGTCTGCCGACTTCGTGAATTTCGCTTGGTGCCACACAATCTCCTCCGCCATCGGTAGAGTCAATAACATCCCTTGAAGGCTTTGTGCTCATGATGCATTTTTGCGTAGACCAAACTTTCGAAGTGTCCATGAAACCACGCAATTTGTCGCGACAGTTCGCCGTCAAGCTATAACCAAGCGCACGTCGTTTAAGAAAGCCGCCACCACTTCATCGTCATCGTCGACGTTTTTCCACACGGTGACACGCTTTTTCACCGAAGCTCCGCTTTCTGACTCGATGGACGACGTACAAGTTACAAACCCCCAGCTTGCAATCGATGATCTTTACTTTGACATCACCGACACGACGATGGTAACCTAGATCTCCTCTTTTTCCATGTCAGCATTATCTTAGAGCCCTGAGATGGAATGGACGCGACCGCTGGTCTCGTACTACGAACACATGCATCCTCTTTCGGATGCAGCTTTTCTCACATTTTGCGAAACGGCATGGACGGAAATTGAGCGAGTAGTCTTGCCCCCGTCAAAGACGAAGCCAAAAGTTCCCGTCTTGAGTCCAGGAGGTGCGGTCTTCCTCGAGCAACTCGTGCTCCAATGCATTGCCCACAATCAAGACTCGACGAAAGTCAATGAGAGATTGTGGAAACATGCGCATCTCCTCTTGAATTGCATGGATCCGCTCATCCGTGGCAATCTCCAAGTCCAAGGCATGGCGTACGATAACGCTGTCTTCCTCGTTGACACGCTTGTCATGGGTCTCATTACACTCGAGCGTGACTCCATCTCTCATCTCAACCAACTGCTCGCTGCCCATCGATACTTGGTTCCCCTTGTAGCTCAGCCGCTTCTCCGTGGACTCTGTCAAATATCTACATCCAGCTTAGATCAAGTGGAACTCGTGCACGCCGTCATTCCAGTCGAGCCGGCTTGGATTCCGTACGACTGATCGCTCCATGAGTTGCAAGTTAATGTGGATTCGATAGGGAAGTCGTGGAGTTGCTGGCCAAGTGGATGCACAGTCTCGACGAAGCTCCACAATTGCGACCAAACTTGATCTATCTCGTCTTTACTTGGGGACTGTTTCCTATCCATGCTGATGAAGCGATTGGAGCTCAGGCGATGAAATATGCCGTCCAATTGTACATTCGAAGCAAATCTTCACCTTCGGACGCCCTCCAAATCGTTGGAGGCTTGTTATCGCTGCGCTCTCATTCAAAGAACGATATTCGCTTGGCAAGTGCTCAAGCCACCAAGCAGTGCTTGCTTGAGGTGGACGTCTCGTTCCCTCCATCGACGTGGCTTTCAATTTTGAGATTTGGATTCCAAGGAGAAATGAAGGATGCAATCACGCCAGTAGATTCTGAAGATTGGGCTGTCCTTGCAACCTTTCAGATGCCTCAGGTTGATCCACTTCCACCCACTATAGGTCGCCTCCAAATACTGGCACAAGTATTTCTCCACCGGTTGGATGCATTGAAACCTTGTGCGGATTTTGAATTCCTCTGGCGTGAAGTAAGTCAAACAAGTCGTGAGTCAAATTCACAATCTTGCTTGTAGCTCCTCGCCGCATTTCAGACGCATCTCGATCACACATCTACAGCTGAAGAAGCAAGGGAACTTCTTCGCAACGTTGTTCTCGTCGTTCAAGCGACAAGTTCAACCGAAGTATGGTTTGAAAAGTCGATTCCAGAGCTCACTGTCCAATTTCCCGACTTGGGCGGCGTTGTACCAGTTGAGCCTCAAGAGTGAGAGTATGTTAGTTAGCAAGAATCATGTCGTTTAATTTGAAAGACAAGCTTTTGTTGTCAAGTATGTGGTTCATTCATGGAGGGGGCACACCAAGGGGGGTCTTGTCCCCCGTGATTGACTGGACGATTTCAGAGCAGACATGCGAATTTTGGTATATGTGCAATATTAAATCTTATTTAAATTTTCATCGTTGGGATGAAAATCATCGTTGGGATAAGTTGTCCGCGTGGCGCAATGGCTAGCGTTTCGGACTTCTAATCCGGAGGTTGCGGGTTCGAGTCCCGTCGTGGACGACACTTTTTCGAAACAAATATTCTCGAAAGGATTTTCGAGCTTAAAACAGCTTCATAATGAAAAGAAAACATTTCAATTTTTTAACTTTTGGATGTGCAAACATTTATATGCAAATGGTAGTTTAAAATTCTTTAAGGGTTTATTAAGTCCTCGTGGCGCAATGGATAGCGCATCTGACTTCTAATCAGGAGGTTGTGGGTTCGAGTCCCATCGGGGACGCTCTTTTTCCCATTTTCACTGACTTCGAACGGTTTTAGTGTGAGAATGGATGTTTTGCAGATTAGTGTGAGAAAGGCTGCAAGCCTATTCACGGTCAAACGATGGAAGACTTGAAAATAGTGTGAGTTGTCAGTCACAAGCAATAAACCCCGTTCCCACACAGGCGGAACATCATGATTGCAGTCGAGGCTTGGACCGCCAAGCAACTCGCGGTCCTCGGCGTGGACAGTGTCTTTGCACCGTACGTGCTTGGAATGCTCAATATGAACGGCCCAGCGAGTGAAGACGAGGAAGATGAGAAACGCCAGGAAGTTTTGGATCTGTTGATGGGATGGCTCGACGAGTCGCATCAAGTAGAGAGTGCCGTGTGTCGAGCACGATGTATCTCATGTCGCTAGGTACAAGCGGAAAACTTTGTCGACGAACTTCTCCTGTATGTGAAGAATCCCCATCAATTGGCGCTTCTCCATGACTCGATTCCTTCGATGGACAATGATACGACGGAAGGCACTGTGGATGACCAGCCGCAGTTGAAAGCGACGGCTTCAGCTTTTGTCCCATCGTCGCTGGTACAGTTGTTTTGAGCATACTTGGCGCCTACAATGAGCTAGGAAAGACCACTGCAAGATGATGTACCGCCGCCCCACACTGACGAGTTTGAACTCGACGTTGAAGACGAAGAAGCCTTTTACTGGTCGGTGGCATACGAGGTTGGTCCTCTTGGTAGTCACATGGAAACTCCCATTCGCAATAGCTTGTTGAACAATTGCTTGTCATCTTTCCTTCGATGGACCCCGAGCGCCTGCTTGATTTGCTCAAAGAGGTGGACTTGAATGTTCAGCGCGCTCAGGTATTGCTTTGTTATGGATTGCTCTGAAACATCGTCTAGGCCACAATGCAAGGTATTGTTGATTCGGAGCAAACCAAAGGGAATGCGCAAGTATGCCGCCATTATCTTCAAGGAGATTGTCGCCGCGCAGATTGCTGGGTACTTCAACTTCTTCCTGTTGTTTGTCATGTTGTGGCTTTGTAGTTTCTTCACGATACTCACCTTATTCCGTGCCGGTACTGGATTCGTGGTGGCTGTTTGCAAGGTGACGAGTGCGCTTTTGCACATTCGTTTGCAGTTGCTGTTTCCCAATACTCAGCACAGCCTGTCGAGGAAGAGGATGAAGGGAATGTGGAAGATCAGATTGAGTGGAATTTTCCATCCCTTCAAGAAGGAAATGGAATGGCAAAGGTTGCGCCATCTGTCGAAGAGTCACTTTCCCTTGATTTTAAGCGTGCTGTCTCGACTTCAGCACCGCGACCCCCTCCAACCTTCTCGTCGTCGTTTGCCTATCAGGTGCAGATTGTTATGGCATGGTTCATATGCTTACTATTCACAGGCCCCGACCAAAAAGCAACCTGGGAAATCGACGACAATGTCCATCACACAATGGGTTGAAACGGGTGACCATGTGGCCGCGCAATATCAGAAAGCTCGTGCCACCGCACGCGACTTGGCTCTTGCTCGAAACCAATGCTTCATGAATGCAACCCGTGCCTTCCGTGCGAATAACAAGGCTCTTGCCAAGAGTCTCTCACGTCAAGGCCAGCAATTGAATGCGGACATGAAGCAAGCTCACTTTGAAGCCGCCACGATTATCTTCGAAGCGCGCAATCCACATTACGAAGTCGATGGGATTGTCGACCTTCATGGTCTCCACGTCGCTGAAGCTGTCGAACTACTCGCTTGGCTTCTCCCAAGTATCAAAACCCGCGACTCGATCTGCGTCGTGACGGGATCGGGTCACCATTCGCACCATCAGCGTCTCCGGCCGGCTGTCGAACGCTTCTTGACCGCGGAGGGATACACATTCACTAGCGTTCCAGATCGAAAGGGATATGTTGGAATGCTCAATGTATCGTTGCGTTGGTGACATGCAATCTTCTGTGTGAACTCAGTCCACATAAATTCGCCGCCGCCAATGGTCGTAGAAGTGCCATCTTCTTGCCAAAGTTGACGGAAAGTCCACTTCACCTGGATGGAATGCGCAGAAAGCGCGCGAAAAGAAAATGACCAAAAGCTCAACTTTTGTCGGGATATCAAATCCGAGGGGTGCAGGTGTAGGGCTTTGCTAATTAGGGTTGAAGGGGTTGAGAGCTTGACAGTGAAGGTCTCACTCAATCTGTCCCTTCCCAGCTCACAATGACATCGACATGGCTTGAAGAAGCGCTAGCGGATGCGCTCGGCTTTGCTGAGACACAGGATATAGCAACCTTTATCCGCTCGATTGAAGCTCAAGATGAAATCTATGACGCGGTGGTCCAGATGATTGGCGATGAAAGAAGCGACATTGCGCACAAGATTGCAGCACGATTGGTTGACGAACGCACACCGAAAGCGCCAAAAGAGAGTGTTCCTGCAGCTCCAAAGCCTCGTCCACCCAATGCGAGTCCTATCACAAATTGCCTGGAATGTGGGCTCATTGAATATCATGGACAGCCTACTTGTGCATCTTGCCAAGCACCACTACATTACGTTGACGAAAGACCAGAAGCACAAGAAGCACGTGCGCACAGGGACCGCCTTTTAGCTAACGATGCCTCCCTCTCTCAAAGAACAGTATGCCTTATGGATGGCGATGAATTATTTCCTGATGTCCTCCGCTTTCCATAGGTTGTTCATGACATGGCAGCACATTTTGATCAAGACAAGAGGGATCGAGATGAAGCTGCTGCATCCCGGTCGTCGACGATTCATATCGACTTGGTGAATCGCTCAATCGAAGCAGCGCCTATGGCGTCGAGCCAAGCACAAATGTTGGCCCATCTCGTCAATGACATGGAGCGCGATCTAAAGAAAAGCAATGTCCGGTCCACCCCGTCACTGGTTCATGTTGGTCATGTGGATGGCACTGACGCAAATGACTACTATTAGCGCAGAGACAGACCCCTAGACGATGCCATCTCTATTGCTTTAATCTAAGGTTCCGGTGGACGCCATCCAAAACTTTCTTCATGCGGTCCAACATAGCCTGGTTCGTTCCCGTACAACTCGAGCTATCGTACGGCGGACTCACGACGACTTGCATGACGCGGATGTTTTGCTCTTCCCACTCGCATGGCATTGTCTTGCTCAACGCATCGAAAATGGCTTGCCCAATTGGCGAGACATTCTTCCCTATCGATGCAATCGCTTTCTCGGCTTGTTCGCGTGTCTTGATCTCCAATTTCCTCAATTCTTCTTCACTAATCACGGCACTTCGTGCAGCAGTTGGTCGCTCCCTTGAGCTTTCGTCCACGGTCACGGACTCAATCGACTCGATTTGGATCATGTGGGTCTTGTCCACACCTTCTAACACGAGGAAGCCCGACATTGGATCCAATGTAAAGATGCTGCCTTCAATCATCAAACCATCCGGGGATGTCTTAACTTGCACCCATGTTCCTAGCGCCACTGGCGACGTCGCCACGCCTTCACTCTGCTTCACAGGCAAGTCAACTTTGACAACGTCGGCCATCCTGGGCGAATTTCCTGGCGCTTGACGAACTCCTTGCATACTTTATAACTTGAATATCAGTTTTAAAGAGTTTATGTTCAATTTTAATTAGTTGAATTCATCAAATAATTGACCAATAAAACAGATCTATTTGTATTTTGAGCAATATCATTGGCTATTTAAAATATAAAAATTCCCTGTCAAAGGATTTTGGCAGGAGAAGTTATTTGGTCAGATGCAGCAGGGTTAACGACTGTCAAAATCTCATGGGGAATGCGAGCGGCGACGATGACTCGGACAGGCTCCGCATTGCCATGTGCTGCGATTTCTTCTATCCGCGTCTAGGCGGTGTGGAAATGCACATTTGGAGTATGTCACAATGTCTCTTAAGGCGAGGACACAAAGTCATCGTAGTCACGCATCAGACTGATGGCCCTAACAAGCGTCAAGGCATTCGGTACATGACAAACAACCTCAAGGTCTATTACTTGCCTCTCGTGCCTATGGTTGACAATGTCACGCTGCCGACTTTCACGGTTGGATTTGGCCTCTTCCGCACAGTGTTGATCCGAGAACGCATTCAAATCGTCCATGGCCATCAAGCGACATCAGCTTTCATGCACGAATGCATCTTGCAGGCCAAGACCATGGGATACAAAGCTATTTACACCGACCACTCGCTCTTTGGCTTTGCCGATGCTGCGTCGATCCATTTGAACAAAGTGATGAAGTTCACACTCTCGGACATCGATCATGCCATTTGCGTCTCCCACACATGCAAGGAAAACCTCGTTCTACGTGCATCCCTTGATCCATCAATTGTATCGACGATTCCAAATGCTGTGGACGCGTCCAAATTCACGCCCAAGGAAACAGATGCGCCGCCCATTGATCCACTCAAGGATCCCATCACAGTGGTCATCATTTCACGCCTTGTGTACCGCAAAGGCATCGATCTTGTCGGCAAGGTACACCATTCTCTCCTTCTTTGTGGTCATGTGTTGCTTTAGACAATCGAGCTTGTCTGTGCGAGGTGTCCAAATGTCAAATTTCTCATTGGCGGCGATGGCAACAAGCGTCTACTGCTGGAGGAAATGCGTGAAAAATGTCAACTCCACGATCGTGTTACGCTTTGGGGCGCGGTTCCGCATGAAGAAGTCCGCAATGTGCTCAATCAAGGCCATATCTTTCTCAACTCATCCTTGACGGAATCCTTTTGCATTGCCATATTGGAGGCCGCTGCTTGTGGGCTTTTCGTTGTCAGTACTCGCGTCGGTGGTGTTCCTGAAGTCCTT